CTAGTAACTATTCATGCGGATCATTTTTCTTACTTTTACCTCTTTATCCTTTTCTACACCCATGCGCTTATACGATTTTTTTCTACCACTGTAAGTTACCTCATGCGGATCATTGTTCTTACTTTTACCTGTTTATCCTTTTGTACAGGATATTGGAAGTTTCATGGTTTAAAGTTTTTCTTTTCATATTTAACGTCTTCCACGCTACCTCATATGTAAACATGTGTGTTCAAGGATACAAAAAAAATATTGGTACCATAAACCTTATTCCCATGGGAACTATACAATGAAAAACATACCGCTTTACACTTCAAAGGAAATGGTTGCTCTTGGTTCAGTCACTTTTATCCGAGTTGCTATCTTTAGGCTCATGACTGAGCTTAATGTGTTCAAATGTCAAGAGCGTATAAGGCCCTGTTTGGTTCATAAGTCCTAGGACTTTTTTAGTCCTAACTAAAAAGTCGCTAGTACCTAAAAAGTCTCTACCTGTTTGGTTCCTGGGACTAAACATTGACTAAAAGACCATGTTACAACTAAAAGTCCCAAAAAGACTCCCCCTCAGGGTCTTCTTTCTTAAGTCCCAAATGCCCACTTTAAGTCCCTATAAGTCCCTTCAGTTTGCTTTAGATGGGACTAAAAGGGACTTTTTTTAGTCCCTAAATCAATAAGTCCCTGTAAACAAACACCCCCTAAGTTTTGTTTAGACGAGGAGTAGAAAGTATAAGTTGGTTGCTCATGAGTTAGCAGTTGTGTGGATCGTCTCTATGGTGTGGCAATTGGCGGCTCGGGTCTACATTATTGAGCTTCGAAAATAGGATTTGCAAACACATTGTATTTGAGCAATAAAGCTCCATTGTTCCCCACAAAGATAAAACCTTACTATTTTCTATTTGCCAGATATAATACCTATAGTAGAATAAAGGAGGGCCCCTACATCTTTTTTATTAAAAGAACTCAAATTCGCATCCTTGAGGGCTTGAACTTGGGTGGTTGGGTTGTAGTACATCATATTCCCTAACCAAGTGAGCTAGGATCACTTCCTTCCACAGTAGTTCTTTAGGTAGAATCTCCCGCTAGTCGGATTATTTACCACTTTCTCCATCTGAAATATGAAATGGGTCGGGTTGCTCGAAGACAGATATACTATATGGTAATCTAATACTATTGATTTATTGAACCATTCACACATATGATCTCATAATCTCATTGCCTAAATATAGTGGCCGAACAAACAACTGATAGTTATTCATAATACCATACATATACTTTTTTTGTTTTCGTGGACAATGTACTACCATATACCATTGCAGAGCAACAAATTTCCTTTTAAAAATTTGAGTAAAAAGCTTTATTTTCATTAACTAAAGTGAGACCGCCCCTCAAGGCAAACGATGTGGATGTCATCGTTACCTGCTTGGAAACCCGGAGATTGTGTTTTCACCCAAGAAACCAAGCTATTAACATATGAAGAAACAGAGTTCCCAAGGATACCTATAAGGGAAACGATGCCCAAAGACTCCGCCACCACCGCCCTCGGCCAGGGTTGGGGTAACACTTTTCGCCTAGAACCCTACTTCGAGGAAAAGGGCCCACATATCTAGAACACCCGAATTAGAGCATTGAGTTTGTCGGAGTTGTGCACCTTCATAATCGACCACCGATCGCCATGACATGTCATACCTTAGCGGCAACTCATGTTGTAAAGAGCACACCATCTTGCTTGTCGGGACCTGTTCTAAATGCGAGTCACCAGATTCATCATGCCCATTGGCCACAATAACGCGTGCCGAATGATTACAAATTTACTCAAAGTAAATCATGTTTGCCCGACAATCCCACTCAAGATAATTGTTTGGACCGAAGCCCCAATGGGTTGATCTGTGGACTCCATTACATCTCAATTCTACTCCCATCATTCTACTTACAAAGGGTGGCCCTAGAGTGGTGTCAATGCTACACGGACGCGAATATGAGTTACGGGGCATAAACAATATCATTAAGATGAAGGGTGAAGAAGGAATACTATCAAGTTTTCAATGATAACACGATGTTGCTATGGATGATGTGGAGGATGGGAAGGCATCCTAGAAAGGGAATATATATTTAACCGTGCGTCTTCTTTGTATGTGGCTAGGGTGCTTACCCTGTACTTGTTCTCCTCTATCATTACAATACAATACAATGATATGCTCTCAAGCGTATTGGTGATATTTTTTTAGATATTTGACCATCCTTTTTCTTGAATATTGACACTTTGCCCCTCACCAACATTATCATTTGCCCCTAATTTCTTTACACTTTGACAATCTGCTCTCTGACAGCTGGGCCCCCGCGAAAGTCGATCCTACCCCTGTCTCACTACCTCTCGTCTTCCTCCCGATCCCCTTCTCTCGGCTGGATTCCCCTCCGTCCACCCTCGGCGGCGCGCCTCCTGCCCTCAGCGCGCCCGCTCCTCCTACTCTCGCCAGGCGCCGGGAGACGCGCGGAGGGGCCTCCCCTTCTCCCTCCCTCCTGCTGCCCTCAGACCAGCGCCGCCGCGGAAGCGATGCCCGCCGCCGTCTTCCGGCCTCCTCCGCGGGAGGCGAGGAGGTGGAGGAGAATACCGCACGGAATACCAGCGAGGCCGCTGAATCGGCAACGCGGATACCTGCAGGGACGCCCCCCGCCGTAGCCTCGACTCGCCATCGTCCCAGCGCCCATGCTCCGCCGTGGGTCGTGGCCGGCGAGGCGGCGAGATCCTCCTCGCTCTCCTGCCAGGATGCCACGGCCCATCGCGATAACCGCTGTGCCAGGTATTCTCCCCCGCACGCGCTCGCGGCTTGACGGGTGATTGAGGGCCGAGGCAGCTCCATCCTCCCGTCTTCCTTGCGGTGCTACAACGGCAATCGGCCAAGACACGCACGTACAGCCTCAGCAGAGAGATGGCCAAGCGACGCTACAAGGAGAACCACAGCTGAAGGTGATTCCACCAAATTCTGTTTTTCTTATACTCTGTTTCAGTGTGTGCATTTTTTTTGAGGGATTCAGTGTGTGCATCTTGTTTGGTATGTTTGTTTTCAATGAAATAATCTGTTGAAAGATCATCTTCAAATCCTTTTAAGCTTAACCATGCTCTACTCAAAATGTATACACGAACAGAATAAGATATTTTTGTTGTTCACACACTCCCTGTGACATCACCTGATCCCATGTCAGTTGTTTTTTTAGTGTAATACATTCCTCTGCCCTGTGGCTGATGGTGATGATGTGGGGATCCAGTAATATCTGTGGGCACACTAATTTAGCAATGTTTTTATATTTAATGTTGTAATTGGTTGATTTTTTTGGATAAAACTTGGTTGGTTGTTCTCTCACCAACAGTTAACTGCAATCTCTTTAATCCTTATTGAAGCTCATACTCCCTCTGTCCGAAAATACTTGTCATCAAAATGGACAAAAAGGATGCATCTAGAACTAAAATACAACTAGATACATCCCCTTTTATTCATTTTGATGACAAATATTTCCGGACGGAGGGAGTACCAGATTACCAGTAGGAATTTGGTTCCTGGATGGTTAATAGGTAGTAGATACTATGGTCATCCAGAGGGTAGCAACTGCTAGTATTTACTAAATACATGCTTGGCCAAACTTTCCTTCCAGTTTTATTGGATCCTTGCAATCTACAGTTGTGCAGCACCGTTTTTACTTCTTATGGGAGCTGGAGCGGTTGAATTTCCACTTGTTGCTACAAATATGGTTCTTCGGTAGCTGGTTAGTCTGAAGTTGCTGCTTACTCGTCAACATGTAAACAAATGAAATTTTGCGTTATGACAGGACAGAGGTAATTGCTTCCATCATTCCTGTCCAGATGTTACATTTAGTTTTCATGTCTTGTATATCTTTTCTTAAGCCAAGTTTGTTTTCACGCATAGAGGGGATACTAAATTTCTCTAATATACTCCCTCCGTCCGGATATACTTGTCATCAAAATGAATAAAAGGGGATGTATCTAGATGTATTTTAGTTCTAGATACATCCTTTTTTGTCCATTTTGATGACAAGTATTTTCGGACGGAGGGAGTACATGTCTAATGTTGGTATTTTTGTAGATCATCAGGGAGAAGATTGCCATGTGCCATGACAGAGCCTCGCCGAGCAGGGTTGCGAGACAGTGTGGTCCTGTGGTGCGTGCCAATTGTCAAAGGTATCTCAGAGGAAGGAATAGAGGAGGATCGAAACAATTTGTTCTGCTGCACAATGTAGATAGAGGAGACAAACCTACTGGAGGAAGGAAATTGAAGGGTGTGTTGTACGGTGCTTGCAAGAGAGGGGAAGCAAAAGGAGGCCATCTGCTTCCGTCGTGACACAATCAGATATCGTGCTCCGCAAATGCACTATCACGGAATAGAACGATAAGCACTTTGACCAAAATCCCCATATAGGAGCACCACTTTGTTACCCCGTGGCAACGCGCTACCAGTGTCTTGTAAATGACCGATGTTGCTCATCATTTGCCAGATAGGTGTAAACTATTGATCCAGCTATGCCAATCTGTTATGCAGCAAGAAAAAAGTGTTGAAGTTAAGTGATAGAAAGTGATGTACCATGGGTGAAAAGCTCTTGAATTATCTTACCAAACTTTATATTCAATGGATTTCAAGTTACACAGCTCTTTCTTTTACATTTTGCAATGACTTTAGCTAAAGCTTCTCTACCTCCGAAATTTGTTCATAAATGTACATGGTTTGCTTCCTTTTTTTCATAGAGATCATCTTTCGAATGAACAAAGAGTAAGAAGAAAGATGGTGTGTAGTTCTATCTCTGAATTCAAAAAGTGAAGCACAAACCCAAAACTGCCTTGTTAATATGTATACTCTTCAATCTTCGTACAATCCTACTTATAATTCACAGACTCTGTTTTGTCCAAATAATGCAACAGAGGTAAAAAGGAAGAAAAAAAAGTGAAATGGTCTTGTCCACTCACTCCAACGGCTAGGATCTAATCAAGCAGGTTCAGTTCAGTCCCAAGAATTTCCAGAGGGCGGGAACCAGAGCTCGCTCTCGTCTAGCTTCATCAGGTCTTGCAAGCCGTCCCAGAGCTGATCCCCTGTTTCCTGCCCGCCGTTCTGCTGCCACGTCTGCGGAACCCGGACCTCGACTTCCGCGCTGCTCGGCGAGGGCGAGCACGTGCCGGACTTGGCCGCGGCGGCATTGCCGTCGCCCAGCTGCTGCTGCTGCTGCTCGGGGAAGGGGAAGTTGAGCTTGGCGCGCGGGCCGCGGAACTCGACGGCGGCGCGGTCGTAGGCCCTGGCGGCGTCCTCGGCGGCGTCGAAGGTCCCGAGCCACACCCGCACGGCGCGGCGCGGGTCGCGGATCTCCGCCGCCCACTTGCCCCACGGCCGCTGCCTGACGCCCCGGTACTTGTTCTTCTTGTTCCGCCGCCGCCTCTGCGGCCCGCCCGCAGTCACCGCCGCTTTCGGCGCGTCCAATGCCGCCGCGGTCGCCCCGGTGGCCTCGGCCGCGCCGAAGAACTCGCAGCCGAGGCAGCCGTCGACCCTGCACACCGGGCACACCTCCTTGCTCGCGGCCGCCGGGAAGAAGTCCGGCGGCGGCGTGGTGTACCCGGAGATGACGTGCAGCAGCGCGGCGACCATGGCGCCGTGCTCCTGCTCCGGCGAGATCGCCCTGCCCGCGAACGGCGGCGGTGGCGGCGGCTCGGCGGTGGCGGTGCTGGGCGACGGGTCCTCCAAGTGGCCGTCGAAGCGGATCATGTACTCGTGGCCGTGGCCCCCCTCCATCGCCGCCGAGACGCTGAAGGTCATGTGTCTGTTCTTGTGGTGTTCTTGGTGGCGCTGACTTGTGTTGAGTGGTGAGTTCAGGTGGTTTGGAGTGAGCGGGAACAGGGGAGGCGGGGGCGAGGTTTATATACGGGGCTGACGTCGCAGGGCACGCGGCGCATGCAGAGCAGCACGCTCGTCCGTGCACTCTTCCCCTTTCTGCCTGTGGAAATTCCCTTCCCTTTTTGTTGGATCGCACCGGTCGGGGACAGCTTGCCAGCTAAACAAATCCGCTGGTTAAGGCTAACGGGGTTCGCGTGAGAAACGTGCGCGTTTCGGGGCCTCGGGTTTGGTTGGTTGGTTGTTTTGTTTATTCCGGTATTGCCCTCCCTCCCGGTACGGGACAGCCGACGGCGTCAGCGTGTGGACGTGACCGGTGAGGGTGACGCCGGTGGTGACGCTAGTGGCATCATGGGAGTGGGGTGCTGCCTGGACAGCAGAGGGGGTCGGTCCGTCTGTTTTTTCGTTGAAAGGGTCAGAACGGGGTCAAGCGGACGGCTGGTTGGCTGGTTGGTTCAGGTGGTTTTGGTTTGCCCTCCGACGTGGCCGCGAGGGAGGTCGGCACACGCACAGTACCTGGTTTTGTTGGCGTTTGCCTGCAAGTGTGGTACGGTTGACGGTTCTGGTTACTTAGACGTTTTTTTTCCCGCGGAGTTATTCTAGATGGCTTTTTGAGTATTGATTAAATTTGATAAATATCTACTACTCCCTTCGTTCCTAAATATAGTTCTTTCTAGAGATTTCAACAAGTGACTACATACGGAGCAAAATGAATGAATCTACACTCTAAAATATGTCTATATACATCCGTATGTGGTAGTCCATTTGAAATCTCTAAGGCCAACTCCACCGCGCGACCCTATCCTGTCCGCCCCGGTCCGTTTGGGGTAAAAGAGACAAAGGAGGCGGCTTAGCGCGCGACGGCCCGGACCCATCATGTCCGTTTTGTGTCCGGGCCGACCCATTTCGACGCAAACTTGCGCCGGGTTTGGGTCGCGGCGGACACCAAACGGACGCGCCCTCGTCCGCCTCGGGGCCGCGTGGCAGGCGGCCACCTACCTTCCTCCCGCCCACATCAATGCGCATGGGTGGGCGGCCCCACCTGTCATCCACACATGGAAGGGTCGCCGTCCTTCTTTAAGTGGGAAGCGTGGATCGGTCGTCGTCCACACTGCCCCACGCCACCCCGCGGCCTCCTCGAAACCCGACAGCCCCAGGCCCCAAACCCTAGCCAAGAACTCGCCGGCCGGCCGCCCCACAGCCATGGGGCTCTGGAACTACGGCCGCAAAGGCAAGCACGACCGCGAGGCTGGCTCCTCGTCGGGGCGTCACCGCGGCTCGGTGAAGAAGGAGGAGCCGGCCTCGCCATCGCCACCACGCTGGGCCCCCTCGCCGCCCGTGTTCTCCATCGCCCCCGCATCCGCCGGCGAGCGCGACCGGCACTACATCTGCGCTGAGGTGTGCCGCCGTTATTGGGAGACGAGGACGCCGATCCCCTGGAGCGACGCCCACCTCCCCAACAACTGGCATTTGTCAGCCGACCGCGTGCCGATCCCGCCGGTCCCGGTGACCGGCCGTGCGTGCCGCCAGGAGATCGAGCGCCGCCGCCGCCTCCTCCCGGACGACCTCTACTACGACCCCAGGTACGCCCCCGACTCGCCATTGTGGGACACTTGGTTCCGCGATGAGCACGACGCGCGGCGGGCGTCCTATTTCGCCGACACGTCGACGGGGCCACGGCGGCCACGCACAGAGCGCCCAGCGGCTGCTCCCCAGGAGCGCGGGCGTAGGGTGGTGCGCGGCCTCACGCCCACGCCGTCGCCGTCTCCATCGCCACCACCACCTCCTCGCATGACGGCGGAGGAGGAAGCCCGTCTCGTGCAGCGTGTCATGGAGGACTCCATGCGCACGCACGACGAGCGGCAATGGGACGACTTGGAGGAGGCCATGGCACTGTCTGCCGCCGGCAACATGGCCTTCCCGGAGCTGCAGATGGTGGCCTTGACGGAGGAGAGGAGGGAGGACGCCATGGAGGAGGAGCCGGCGACCGCCTTCCAGCAGCTGGTGGGCATGGGGTGGGCCTGGTCCTGCACTGCTCCGGAGATGGCCGCCTGCCTAGGCGTGGACTGGCGCGCCACTCCCCCGCAGTCACCGGAGCGGGAGGGGTCGCCACGGGAGGAGGTGTTGCAGGCACCTCCCGCCGTCCAGCCCGCCCCCGTCTACCAGGCACCGCACGCACCGCCGGCCCACCTGTGGACGCCGCCGACCTACGTCGACCTCGTCAGCGACGACGACGACACTGGCGGCCAGTGAAGAGCGCCACGGCGACGGCAACGACGGGCACAGGCAGGAGCTCGCCGGCGGAGACCGTTTTTTTTTCTTTTTTATGTTTAATTATTAATGTGACAAAACTGGGCCGTTTTGTGGCCATGGACCCCCCTAACTAAGTTTTATCTTTTATTAAACTGCGTTTTTTTTACCTTTTTAGTCATTTTTTTATGTTTTCCTGACACGGACGTGATTTGGGGTGCGGCCGCGCGGTGGGCGCACGCACGACCCAATGGACACAGCCGGACACGGGCGTACCCATCGGCGCCTCAAACGGATAAAATCCGGCCAATCCGGACGTTCGTTTGGGGTCGTGCGGTGGAGTTGGCCTAAAAAGACTTATATTTCGGAACGGAGGGAGTATATACCATACCAGTATAAAAAAGCTTACGCTTCATCCAATTATTCTATGCCATCTAGCTTTCTTTTTGATCCAATGGTTCAAAGTTGCACCATATGACCATCCACCCACTAATCATACCTTTAATTACCACCAACACAAAAAGACTTGAGTGTTTTTTTCCCTCCTCCTTCTTGGCAAGGTGCTTGGGGAGTAGCTTATCGTGACTTGGGTGGCAATTATGTGCGGGTGTCGGTCCAGTCAATGCGTCTCAAGATGGTTTGTGTTTGACCTTATGTTCCTACAAGGCTACAACAATGGTCTCGAATGTGTTGGCATGGAGACCATCTCCTGCGAGCAGTTGCTCAATGCAGCTTGGGATGTGGAGGTTGGACAGTGCAGCCATATTTGTTTGATATTGTGAACAACTCTTGGATGTCCGCGACTAAATTTTTACATTGTTAACATTGGTGTGAATGCTCAATGGTATGGTCAATTGGCATAACGTATTTTCTCTTTTAGGCAACCTATTTGTCTTTTCACGAGCCGCCCTATATCATGTACCAAACGAAGAAAGGGATAAACCAATCCGGTAGGCGCCAAGATAAAATATAACTCCGAACAGCCTTGTGGCATCCTCTCGTCACAGTAAACACATGAATGAGTCTTAGGAGGGAAACTGGAAAAAGTGACGAACCCGAAGGTGACACAATAATGACTAGTCTATTATATGCTATAAGCACAATACATTGGAATATAGATAAAATAGTTGGAAAATCCCACATAAGAGAAACATATGGCCATCTGTTTAGCGCGGTACAGAATAATAACAATTACATTTTACCAATGGCCCTTTGACATTGAAGTCGGGAGAAATAACCCACTAATGCCATCATAGGAAAAACGTTTTATCTACTTTACTCCTATACAACTACCATGCGTACACGTTTCATCTCTTTTACCTGTAAAACTACCATGCGTATGATTTGATCTGAACTGGATCCCAAACTAGGGTTAAGCCATGTGCATGTTTGTGTTGTGCTCCAGCTTCATGATGTTCTCCAGCTTTGGTGAAAAGGAAGATGGGATGAAATTGTTTGAGATGCAGGGTGTGGAACGGAAGAAACTTTCATGGGAAGAGTTTGGGTCCAACGACAAATGTTGCAGGCATTATAGTCCTAGCATGCTTAAGTTTCTTATGTTTCCCGATCTAGAAATATATCCACCTGCTTTGCTTCCTACATGGACATCTCGCTGGATCCAATCGATCAGTTTGACCCAGGTTCCACCTTGCCGATGCCGCATTCTCTTCTTGCCGTTGATGTTGGGTCTCTAGTTGTGCGGTGTAACAGTCGAAATTGATCGACATCGGATGCAATTAATGGAGGATGGCAATGCTATCTCGTGGGAGAGGCAAGAGTAGAGAGACATGCGCTCTGAGATAATAGCGTAAGTCCTCACCACCCTTCCTCTCCAATCCGACCATACATGTCTTTCTTTCTTCCTCTTCATTGCCAAATCTCAATGCCTACGAAATCCTTGATTAGTCCATTGTGCATAGTTTGTGGTGCAATAGTTGTTTATTTGGTGGAAGAATGGAGTGTGATTTTGTCAAAATATATATGGTTTGGTCCTATTCAATCTTGCAAAGAAACAAGGGTATATTTCCTTCCGTAGTTGTTGTGATTGGAGGGAAATTAGTCCTAGATGATGAAAGTACCAGTTTGTTACTGCGACCATACGATTTAACACTCAAGATGTGTGTATCCAGCTCACTAAGATGTGTCTATTATCTCGCATCTACACTTTCTATACTGAAGATATAAGTATGATTGATTGACATATGAGATTGCTTGGCCGCTTCTGAAACTCCCTTTTTTTTGCTTTGCTTTATAATAATGTAATATAAACCAAGAGTTGTATAAATTTCAAAGGGAAACACACCGACAATATAAGAAATTGTTCCAAGTAACGAGCATCAGAATGATGGTTGTTTTTCCTTATGCTGGGAATATGGGAGATTTGTTATGCAATAATAGGGTTAAGAATGATAGTTGATTATTTTGTGAATAAGAATGATGGTTGATGATAGCTACATTTTGTTGGATAATCATTTTCTTGGATGACCTCCATGCATGGATGGTAGATTACCTTCGAGCTCCAATAGTCAAATTCTTACACTTCTTTCTTCCAATACATAAATGTTTTTTTGCTACTTCTTAATATTTGGATTTTAAAAGGGAGAGTTTATGTGCTTTACATCTTAAGGAAGAATGGATTCCTCAATAAGGTCCAAGTTAGACTCCTAATTTTCTCG